TATGATTAGGATTCAGCATTTTCAGGCTTTTTTCCCCATCATCTTTCTCATATTCCTTTCATACAGATTCTACCAACCTGTACAGTTATGCTCTACAGAGATCACATTTACAAACTGGAGTTCATTCCTATAAAATTGAAGATTATCGGGAAATCTCACCCAGATGTGCATAATTTGTTCATTTATTTATGTTCCCATTCTTATTTGCAAAAGTGCATACTGTGTGTGTGTGTGTGTGTGTGTGTGTGTGTGTGTGTGTGTAGCTAGGTTTTAGGCTAGTTAAGGGCCGGGACTTCCTGGATTGCGTTTTATCAGCAATAAGAGTCATGCTGCCCTTAAACATCAAATGTACATAACTTGTGATAACAGTGACTGAAGCTCAATGACCATGCAGCCTACATCTTAATAAATAAATACTACAGCAACATGATTTCCATTCATTCCAAAGTATCATGGGACCATAGTTTCTAACTAAGAGCTGATTATAGTGTTCTAACCTAACCTTTAAAATGTCAATAAATTGGATTATAGTGTAAGTCATTCTAAATGTCTTTGAAAGAAGACAGATGAATGTTATGCTGTCACGAATCTGCACCTATGGGAAGTCTGTGTTCAGAAAAGCAGTCAGTTAATGCTTTTGCCTTTAGCTGGTTCTAGTCTATTGTACTTTCATTTGCTATCAGCCAATGGTCATATTTTCACGCAGTCAGAATGAATGACTTGAGTGTTAAAAGTCAAAAACAAAATTCACAAAGCACTTCAGTCTCAAAGCCCTCAACTCATCTAATTTTGTGATTTTTGGCACCTTTGCCTCCATAGAGGATTTTGAATATCAGGCTGCTTCAACCTCAGTGTGAGAACATTTCCATGAAGGTGTGTTAATTAAGTATAGAGATGACTAACCACTGCTGAGTAATCACATTATGCAAGATGAAAAAATGGAAACACAGAGAGTAGTCATTCTTAGAGATGTTCATTGCTGCTTCACACCCAGAAGTTAAGATCTCAACAGAACTCTTCTAGGGACATCATCTCTCTTTTTGCTGATGATCCTGGGAATTCTTGCTGAGCAATTTTTCTCACAAAGAGCGCAGGACACTCAGCTCCCTTAGTCATAAGTATTACAAAATCTAGATACGCCAAATCCTTAAGTTAGCAGAGACTGACATTCTGTTGCATAAATTTTTACAGGCCACAACGTGAATTTATGCTTACCTACTTGCATAATGGTCCCTCTTTTGAGTCTCAAAGATCCCTCTCTTCTTGGGTAAGAGATTTTACAGGTCCCTGGTGACTATATTTGTATGTGTCTAAATAATTTGGGGATAGTTAGCACCTAAGCCAAGTTGGGCCAGTGAAATCCTCTTGAGAATTTTGGAGGTAGATTCCAAACTTTGGAAAGGTAGATCCCAAGAAGGTAGCTGTTTCACTAATGTCAGTGCTCTCCAGAGAGAGGCAGGCATTTCCTACTGCTCAAGGTCTTGGAGCTGCCTTGATTTCATCTCTTTCTAAGTTGTGACTATTTAACTGTCTTTAGTGTCTTAATAGGATTGGGAACAGGAAAAGTGAGTTCCCTCAGGAGATCATAGTTGAAAACACATCAGGTCATGGGCAAGTTTCTGGTGTGATGTGCAGTTTCCCAAGGTGATATAAATTCAATTTATATTTATTAATTGCTGAATGGATTGGTCATAACAGATAGTAACAGTAAACTCAGTTATGATTTCCAAAAGCTTTTTTTTTTAATCACTCCCAGCTGTAGTACCCATATGCATGAGATATGATCTTCATTTTACAGACAGTGCTTTGTTGGCTTTTCAAATTGTTTTGTAAAAATTCCAGAGCCTCACAATGTGTGAATCAGTGGTTCAGCATAAGATTTTGATGCATGTTCTGATTTTGATATGATGTGGTTAACTAACCAGATGGCACGTGTCTAAAACTGATGTCAATTAAGTGAGAAAAGTTGACCAATGGGGCTCAAATGATGTTATCAAATATCCCAAAAGCTTTTAATAATTCCACACATATCTTATTCTAATTTTATTTTTTAAATTATACTGATTTTAAACTATAAGCATGTATGCCATAATACTGCCTACGCCACATTTTAATGCACTCAAGACCATCATAATATTAACTTGTGCTTCCAGGTTAGCTTATGCAGAGTGTGGAGCACCAAGTAAGGCTTTCCTTTAATCCACTGCTATATACCTACTGGAGATAAGCCACCTATGAATGCATCTGAATCGTTTCAAAGGTGCTGTTGATTATAGAGGAGGTTACAGAGCAGATGGGTGTTTTCCTCCCTAATTCACAGTAGCCCATGTCTGATCATGTATAATTTTAGAAGTGTTTCCATATTTATTAGGATTTTCTCAATACCATACAAATAAAATACAACACAAAAATAATTGGTGCTGAGGGAGATTTAAGACCATAATTCTCATCATAATCCCTGCTTTCAAATTTGTGTGCTCATTAAAAAAGATGTCAGTGTTTGAATTTATAAGGTTATTAACAAGATATGGCTTTCACTTATTTCATTTGTATTTTGTGTATTGAGGTTCTCTATAAGATCTCATTTTATTAAAAGTTTCCTCAGAGGAAAAATGAAAGCAGCATTGTAGCAGAGTTTTTCAACCTTGACACTAATGACATATCGGAATAAATAATTCTTGGATGCTGTCCTGCGGGGCATTGTAGAATGTTTAGTGGCATTCCTGGCCTCCACCCATTAGATGTCAGTATCAACCTTCCACCCCCGGCTCCACAATCAAAACTGTCTCCAGATATTGTCAAATGTCCCCTGTGGGAAAAATTATCCCCAGTTGAAAAGAATTGGCTAAGTCAAAACATCATAGAGATGGCCACACTTTAGTAATTCCTAGAGAATATTCACAATTTCATAAACTTTTAAAATTCATAAGTAGCTGTTAAACAAAGAATATAGTAAAAAGATGATGTTTTTGAGGCTTTTAAAAAATTTATGTTGTCTTATTGAAGATGTTTGAAACACTTTGCAGACCATAAAAATAATGTTGCAGAATTGTATTTTCAGACTACAAAATACAGTTATGAGATATTGTTAAACAAAAAAATTAATTCATATGATTATGGGAGCAGTAAGCAAGAAGTAATCTAGTAAAATCCTCTTATGTGCTCAATTCTGGTATATGACCAGTTTTCAAATTTTTTAAAACATATTTTAAGAATTTTTTTAATTAACTTTAAAATTCATTTTACTCTTGCCTAATGCTCAAATCAATCTGATTAGTTGACCACCATTTGCCTAAGAAAAGCTTCAAAGGAAATCTCTACTTTCATCTTTCATAAAGAAAGCCAAAGAGAAATTGGGAAGATCTAGGGGTTTTCTTAATAATGTTTTTAAGAAGATGCCTGTTAGGTGAACAAAATGACTAAAACAATAACTGCCCTTGGCAGCCTCAAAAATCATAGGTATGAAAAGTACTTTGTCAAATTGACATACACTGTTGAAGGGAGTGTAAATTGGCTCCATTTCCGTGAATAACAATGTGGCAAAATTTAAAATGCATATACCATTTTTTCTAACAATTTCCATTTGAGAAATAGCCAGTCAATGTAGTCAGACATAGTAGCGTGTACCAGTATATTCAGAGCATCTTTATTTGTAAAAGATACGAAACAACATAAATGCATCCCCCAAGTATGATTAGGAAAATAAATTATGCTATTTCCATGCAACTCAACATATCGTAGTAAATGTTCTTACGGGCAGCTTACTTACTCATATAGAACCAAATCCAAGATGCACCTGTCAATGAAAACAAGCCATATTCAAAGCAGGGTGCATGGTGGGCTTCTAATTAAGAAGTTCCCCCTAAGAAGATACAGGTGGGCTTCTATTTGTACACAGAGTATATGTGGAAATTTTCCAACCTTTGTAGCTCCTGGGGATTAAAGCCAAAAGAAAACTTATTATTAAATTTGAATTTTGATTTCTTTAAATTATGATTACACATTACTTTGTGAAAGAGGACCATGTAATTACTTTTTTTTTAATAAAGTACTGTGTCAGTTCCAAAGTGATATTGCATGTTTGTATGAGTGGATTAGCCATATGAATCAAGTTACTCTCAGACCCCACAGTCCAGGAAACCAGCCCAGGCACGAGAAAAATGGAGGGACAGTGGGGACCCGGGTAGGCTATCTGGAGTCAGGAACCTTGGGTTTACATAAATGCATAAGCTGAACTGGAGTCGGTAGGTATGGTGTAAACATCCATCCTAGGATAGCGTTTCTTTCCTGGTTATGTACTATCTATCTACTGAGTATAGGTGGACCAGGGCCTCAGCGATGAATCTGATGGACCTCTCTAACAGTGGGGAATGTGAGTCAGAAAGGACGAATTTTGTTGCTGTTGTTGTTGTTGCTTTTGCTGTCTTATTAGGTTGCAGCAGGAGAGGAAGATGGGCTTCGATGCACAACGTAGATATTCTCCTGCTCATAAAGCCAGACTTGCTGCAGATATTGGCAGAGACATTGCTAGGATGCTAGTAAATATAGGAAGGACAATGGGATAATAATAGTTCTAATAGTGGCCATCATTTGTGGAGCACTGACAAAGCAGAGGGCACTGGGCTAAAAGCTTTGCGCACATTATCTCTCTCAGTCTTCACAGCCATTGAAGGCAGTCGATGTTTTGATTGATAAGGGGACTGAGGCTCCTAGAGATAAATTAACTAGCCCCAGCTCCCACACCAGTGAGCAGCAAAGAAAGACTCAAACGCAATCTGCCTGCCTTCAAAATCTTTAATCACAGAATTTTGATGTCAGCTGGTGGGCATGAGTCAGGGCTGGGAAGCCTGGGAATGAAAGTTATCATCCTTACGATGTTGTCTTTTCTCTCTCTCACCCTGACAGGATCACAACCACAGCTGCCTGCATGATGGATCTACGGAGATATCCTCTGGACGAGCAAAACTGCACCCTGGAGATTGAAAGTTGTGAGTTACTTGGGCAGGGGAACAAAAAGGAGGGATGTTGGCTTGATCCAATTAAATTCAACCTCATACTGAGTAATTGGTACCAGGATATTTTAACTACACTATCCTGCCTACTTTTCAAAGGGTTCACAGTCTAGTGACATTTTCCTTTATAATGCTGATTTAAGGTTCATTTCAATACAGTTATCTTTTGGAACCATCAAGGAAAGTCTACTTATTTTAGCTGGACAATTTATAAACTCATACTTTCTCCTTCTCAGAATCAAGTTTCTCCTAAGGCCTTCCAATACCCAAGCTGTGGTAATAACAGAGGGAAAATAGTTTAATATGAAAAGACTTTGTGAGATTGTTTTTGGTTCTATAGTCTGTCTACCTGAAGGACTGTAAATTGTTGTCTTTTAGAAAAACCGTCTTAAAGTCTTGTGTGCAGTTATCTTTCTTCAAGGGAAGAACAAGATGATAAATGATATTTATGAGGCTTGTGGTTTAAGCCAAAGACTTAATGACTGATTTTGGTTTGTCCTCTTAGGTTGTTTTTCATTGATTACTTTACTGAATATTTTAGTCACTAAGATTTAATCTGATTGCTTATCTTTGTTTCATTGTTTCTGAACTATCAACGTTCAAGCATTTGAGCCCATTTATTCCAGGCAAGGCCATTTCCTGGTTTTCAGGGGCACAGAAAGTGCAGTGGGTAATTCAGAGCATTGTAATACCACTTAATGTAATGTGAGAAGAGATATACGTCTTTAGATCATTTATTTTTTTAATTTTTTATTGAAGTATAGTTGATTTGCAATGTTGTACTTGTTTCAGGTGTACAGCAAAGTGATTCAGTTACACATATACATATATATACAGTCTTTCTTAGATTCTTTTCCATTATAGGCTATTAAAACATACTGAATATAGTTCCCTGTGCTATACAGTAGGTCCTTGTTGTTTATCTATTTTCTATATAGTAGTTGTATATACTAATCCCAAACTCCTAATATAAATTAAATAAATCCCTTCCCCCCACCCCTTTTCCTTTGGTAGCAATAGTTTGTTTTCTATGTCTGTGAGTCTATTTCTGCTTTGTAAATAATTTCATTTGTATCATTTTTTTGATTCCACATATAAGTGATATCATATGATATTTGTCTTTCTCTGACATTTGTAGGTCCATCTATGTTGCTGCAAATGGTATTATTTTATCTTTTTATGGCTGAATATTATTTCATTATATATATATATACACACACAGATATAGATATAGATTCAGACACATATACATACATACCATATCTTCTTTATCCAGTCATCTGTCAATGGACATTTAGGTTGCTTTCACATCCTGGCTATTGTAAATAGTGCTGCTATGAGCATTGAGGTGCATGTATCTTCTTGAATTAGAGTTTTCTCTGGATATACGCCCAGGGGTTGGATTACAAGATCATACAATAACTCTATTTTTAGTTTTTTAAGGAACCTCCTTACTGTTCCCCATAGTGGCTGTAACAATTTACATTCCCACCAGTGGTGTAGGAGGATTCCTTTTTCTCCACACCCTCTCCATATGTGGGCCTTTTAATGATGGCCATTCTGACTGTGTGAGGTGACACCTCATTGTAGTTTTGATTTGCATTTCTTTTAGTTAGATCATTTAAAATACTTTCAAAATGGTAAAGAAAAAGGGAAAATTTCAGGTGATCTTCTAGTATTATTAAAGAATAAATGTATTCTCCATTGACTGATTAATAAGTAATTACATTCTAGTTTCTACTGAATACAGACATAGACGTAGATAAAGATGCTTATGCAAATATAGATATAGATTCAGACATAGCCATTGATCTGTTACCAGTAGAACTTGGAATGAACAAGAAAATTCATGAACTATTCTTTAATTAATATTCTAATTTTAAAATGCATTAAATAAATAAGTTGGTTGAAAGGTGTTAACGTGTGAAAGTATTAATGGTGACTTTTGATTTAAATGGCAACCAAATTCAAACTACAGAATGAAATATAAGCTCAATTACTTATTAATGACTAGTAATGTTTTATAAATAAGGCAGAACTTTAGCTAAGCAAGTAAACCATTAGCTTTTGGACATAGAAAGAGAAGGATAATTCACGAATTGCTCACTCATATGGGTTGCATTTTACCCTTGACCCCTCTTCCATTGATAGTGATTTTTTTACCTTTGCTTCTGCTGGACAACATTAGGATATGACAGTCTGTCAAAATTCCAAGGTCTTATATTTACATCATTCACTTAAAGAAGCAATGAATTTTGACAAGTGCTTGAATTGATTCTAGGCATAAATTCCAAGTGCTAAAATTATCAGCATTTTCTCCCAAAGTGCATATTTTATTTTATAGGTAATTTTCTTTTATACAGGCAATTTTCTTTATTCGTATTTAGAAAATAGATGACTTTTAGGTCTATTTATCGTATCACACAATGACCAAAACCAAAACTATAAATGAGGTAGAAATGACTCTGTGGAGTAAGGATGGGGGAGACCCAAACAATCAGAGAGTCAAAAGTTATTCTGTACTGTATAGCACAGGGAAATATATACAAGATCTTATGGTAGCTCACAGAGAAAAAAATGTGACAATGAATATATATATGTTCATGTATAACTGAAAAATTGTGCTCTACACTGGAATTTGACACAACATTGTAAAATGATCATAAATCAGTAAAAAATGTTTTAAAAAAAAGTTATTCTGAAATATGGTATCAGGCAACAGGTGACCACCCAGACATATAATAATCATTGAGGCAATTCAATAAAATGCAATTAGTCCTCTGGACAGATGGATGAAGCATAGCAACTGGGACCCTAAAATCAGTCAATGCAGAGGACTGGGGGCAGATGGCGACCATCATCAATGTGATCCAACCACAGGTCACGAAACTCTAGTTCCTAAAGATGTTTACCTAAAGCAAAGCAAAAACTCATGCCTGTAAGAACTGGTGTAGTGAGAAGTCTGTGAAGACAGAAACTTGAAAGGGGAAAAAAACAAGGAACTGCCTTCTATTTGCCAGAAAAATGCTAGGCATTAATAGAATACCTCTCTAACAGAAGTCTTTCCAACAACATTTGAGAGAGAATGTATCTGAGGCTCAGAGAAGTAAAATAACATACCTGGGGCCACAAGACAAGGATAGCGGTGAAGTGGGGACTCAAACTCAAGTAATTGACTCCCTGTAATAGAATCCTGCCATCAGCTGTGAGCAAGGAAGCAGAACATTGGTGATTAGAAGTACAGCACCCATCAGAACCACTCACAGCTAGGTCGAGGATGCTGAATTAACTAAAGACTGGTCTATATTTCCTAGAATTATCCCTGATCAAGGTTAGAGTAGATCCTAGAAGCTGAAGCATAATTTAGCTTTTAGGTCAAGGGTCAAATGATTGTGGAGAAAGGGTAGTCTATGGATGCAGGAAACCAAGTGGTCCTGATTCCCTTGACGTTACACTGAAATAAATTTAGAAGCCTCAAATGGCAACATTTCTTCGCTCTAAAGCTGTACTTAAAGTGTATCCCTTCTCAATAAGAGGTAAACCAATGTAAAGAGATCCTAAATCTTAAGAGTAGTAACTTCAAACAATGAAGTAACATATGGCAATAATATGGAGTCCAAATGAACTTTGCTTGTTCGTGCCTAAGTACATAATCAATATGTTACTAAGTGTTAATAAATACTGAATCTGTTATTCTGTCTGTTTTTTAACTCTTCACAAGGAAACATGTGTTGCATTATTTGCTAAAACAGCTCTCCCTGATTTGACATTTTATTAAGACTACAACTCAGCTTTAAAGTGATTACAAATGAGAGGGTCTAGTGTCAGTTGGGGAATAAGAATGTTAAGGTAAACATTCCGCCAGTATAAGATTGAACCAATCATAGTTTTGTGACAAACAGAGTAGAAATTTTACCCACCTTACAGACTGTACTCATTTGTATTCTCTTTCATTACAACCCCAAGGATGGAGAAATGTTTTCCTGGGTAGGTCCTTTGAGGCAAATTGAAGATGTTTTGCTTTCTTTAATGTCATCTAATCAAGTAAAATTAGAAAGGCCATAAAGACTTGTTAAACTGAAAGTTTACTTGAACTTGGAGCAGATTAATAGCTTCATAGCCCTGGGATGCTATAAAATAAGTTAATGGCACATAGAAAAATCAATCAAGGAGTTTAGTACTAAGAAGATTAGGAATTAAAATCAATAAAGCTATCATGTGAAGGTTTGATAGCCAGCCACAAGCCTCATGGAAATATAGAAAGGGTTTGGGACAACAGTCATGGAGGTGTCAAACGTCTTTCCCTGTTTATTTTCTGCAGTGGCTATTGAGGGAAATCTCACCCTATCTCACCTTCTCAATGTCAGTAGTCAGGGCCACCTCTCACTACAGCCAACCCCCAAAGCAGAAGCCACTTCAGGTCTGAAATCTCTCAGCAGTCTCACCCGTCTTCTTCTCAACACCCTTATATCGTCACCATGCTAAGTTAGCCCTCTGTATTTCAGCGGAAGAGGTGCTCCTGTGCCTTTTATAGCTGACCCTGCCCTCAGTGCTCAGGATTTCCATCTCTTTCTGCCCCCTCTGGGAACTGATTTTCTCAGGTTCACACACACCTCCACCCCTGATCTTTCAGATCCTCATTCTCACTCTGTCTGCTACTTCTTTCTTCACAGCCTGAAGAAAAAAAAAAAAACCTGTAATTGCTTCTCGTCACAAAACACCTCTCCTCTACCCTCACACCTCCCCTTAAGCTTTTCCTAATCTATTTCCTTTTGCAAAATTACTTGAAAGAATGGTCTATATCCTTGTCTATTGCCTGAACAGCCTCTCAACCCACTGTAATCTGGAACCTGCTGACCCATCTCCCGTGTCCACTGACAGTGTTCCCAGAAAGGTGAAAAATGACCTCTCTTTACATCTTTTTTGCAATGATCTCCAAATCTGTATCTTCAGCTCAAATCTCTTCTAAGCCCCAG